TCATTATCCCTCACCTACCGTTTAGCATAGGTTCATTACTTAACTAGTACCTTCAACATGGAAATTAAACTGGCTGAAAACACCTCCGAGCAAATTAAGCCCCAAAAATCAACTATTTTCCTTTATACTACTCTCTAATATACTTATCTTGGATGAGAATACTTAAATAGAAACGACCTCATTTGATAATCACCGAGTTTTATCATTTGTTATCTATATCAAGCGAATGATTTCGTCTTGATGTTGAGTGACGTAAATAATTGTTATCAATCATATTATTTTCATTTGTAAAGATAATGACTCTTTATAACTAATAAGTCCCAAATACCGAGAAGTCAGTATAGCAATATTTGTATCATTATAAGTGTTCCGCTCTGTACGTAAAATTTACTAGCCGGAGAAGAAATGAAAAAAAGTTAAATCCAATACTGTAAAAAAGTCTAAATAATAATAATGTTATTATAGAAACAACATCAAACTTATGAAAGCAGCCATATGACAGCTGACTAAAATATTTCATATTGATACAGATAAGGTCTTTTTAAATATTAGAAAAGTCAAGAAACTATTACTACTTAATTACTCTTCTTGTGTAAAGACCTCCATGTAGTTTGTTCGAAACTATTTTCTTTCTTGTTTTTATGCTTCTAACAACATAATTCACAGAATACACCTCAATATCTTCATGAATTGAGTTATAAAAAGTATATTTACAATCAAGAAGATGAATTAGTGTAATTCAATTTCAAGTTCAGCGAAATCAACATGGCTACCAAGGAATTAGTTACCGGACGGTACTGTGGTATATACATTACTTGTTTAACAAGCGTCAATCTTATCAGATTCAATAGTAGAAATAAAAGAATTATTAGAAATTGCTTTACAATTTGTAACGTTTACTTTTTAACACAATGTAAAAGTAACTAACAAACTCGATGAGGACATAATCGGTTCAGTCGCAAATGCACCAGCTTAATAGAATGAGTTTATCTACATTTGAACATTTAAAATCGACCTTAATTATAAGCATCTTCGACCGAATTGAATTTAGTCATTTATCGACGCATGTTCTTCTTTTTAAATGACATTTCACCTTTTGACTTTCAGGGATTATTTAATACTGCTTCTATAAACCTCTTAAGATTTAATACATCAAACAACTCAACTTATTTTGTATTGATCGTTTAATTCCTAGGGATTAATAATAAAGCTTGTATTTTGAGCAAATTAAATAGGCAGTTCTAACAAATTAACAACGTGAATTAAGATGATCGGATATTAGAAATAATCATTCTAATACTATTCCTGTTTTCGGCGAATAAAAGTTTATTTGTTTCATTTATTTGGTAGATATGTCCCAGCTGGCTAACGCACAGACTCAAACATATTTACTCAATAAACTAAATGGTATATGCAGTTGCAAATTCAGGTGGAACTATGTGATAGCTACTCAAATGACTTCGTGTACTTTATAATAATAATAATAATAATAATAATAATAATAATAATAATAATAATAATAATAATAATAGTGTACAAAAGTTCTATAGCAGAAAAATAGGTTTAATTTGCTTTTTATCAAAGTGATATACCAGTAACAAAAGACTGCATGTCATCTACTTAACAAATAATAGCATTCTTCACAATATGTATATGTATCTAACAGAGACATTCACAACCAGCTCGATCACATAGATAATAATTCACCGAACAATACATTGAATAATTTATTTTCCGCTCAAGTTTCTACTGCTACTCAGTTGTGTAAAACAATGATCACCTTATAGATACGGGCAATATCGAAGGACAACTTCCAGGAAATCAAGTTTCACAAGAAAGTCACTGCATATAATCCTGAATATTGAAGACGGAGTATACAGACTCATAAAAACAAAAAATATCACACCAATCTAACGAGTTAGTGGTTATCTAGGCTCGGCAATCTAATTCAGAGTTGGAGTCTCAGTGTGAGCATCAAATCGAGAAAAACCCTGGTTAGATAACCATGTTAACCACAGTTCAGGATCAAATTTTATTTGTGTAAGGACATCGATAGATAAATAATATTCCTTGAGATAAAACGAGATATATTTTTAAAATAGATGCGCGATGACGTCACATGCAGATAGAGACTTTGAACGTGTCAATTTGTTTTTCCTAACATAATCATGCTGTCTAGTTTAGTCGTAATTCTTAAATTTTACGGAGTTAAAATACCTAATTGAAATATTTTCGTAAATGAAATATGTATTGATTGGTTTGTAGTGTTGGTTGCTATGTCGAGCCTACATAGCTTATTCTAGCTTCCGGACAGACCAATTTATTCATCCTTCTTGAGTCACATTTTGACCTTGGTAATTATTCGCTTATCAACCTTGACTGTTTTTATATGAGCGTATGTGTGTGCATATATTACCTATTCATCACATGTCTATAACTTATTTCTGTCTGACTATAAATATCGATTCACGTTTGGTTAAACAGTTTGCTTACATGCCTTCTCCAACGCGCGTCATTTCTCCGGTCGACTGTCTGTTCAGAACAACGACTGTATTAAATATACGGATTCAAACTTCATTTTCGTATTTGACTTGTTCCATTCCGTTATTTACTAACGCGGGTTAAGTCGATAATAATATAGGAGGATTAGTGGAATGTATATTTCAATAACAATCATTCATACGAGACACCTGGAGTCAGATATAGGGCCATTAAAAGTTGATTCAATCAGGAATATATATGAGAATTCACTTCATCAAGATTTATCATAATTAACCAAATACAGATATATGTACGTCAGTTTTTTACGTAGATCTCGATCAGGGTTTGGTTTGTCAACCAAAGTAGCAGGTTGGACTAACACAAAAGGAGTATATTTCAGTAGTAAACGAATAAAACAACTGGCAAACATAAGTAAATGGTTTTATATTAAGTGAATATAAATGATAAATTTTCTCTTTATACTACTACAGTATATCAGTCAAATTTCTAGATACGTTCCATTATTCACATACATTACCATTTTTAATAATTCATCTATTAAGTAGGCAAATAGTTTGAAACTATTTAAATCTTCTGGCAAGTTGGAATTAGTTTTAACAAGAATCGAATAATCAGTTAGTTTTCTAGGGAAATTATCATCCATATGTTCGCTGACGAATTTGAAAACTGTCTGATACAGACTTTCTATCTAAAACCCCAATAAATCAACACCCTGACTTATTTCCTTTTTACCTGATTCGTCCACAAAGAAAATGATGCTAATTACATACGAAGGCTTTTCACTCATGTCAATCATAAAATGTTCATTATTTATTATTGACAAATAACAAAAGCAATTGAGATATTGTACTTTAACTAACAAGAATTAAAAATCACTTGAGCCACATTACATGACTGACAGCCAATTTGTACTGATTTCGATTTGGTGACATGATAGAGATACTGACATAATTATTATTCAAAAATTAACAAGTTTGTTAATATTCTAACTCTTAAATAAACATATCACACAAATTGACTAGAAGTGACTTCCTTTATTGACATTTACATTAAAATAACTCATTAGTTCCGGTTAATGAAGTACTTTAATCGATAAATCAAATGCTATGTAATATACAGAACATCAACAATAAATGATACCCGTCATTTTAGGCCTAGGCTTGAAAAACAAGATTCCAGAACAGCTTTTCTGTAATTCGCACGTGGATATGCAACTATCAGATAAAAGCATACAGTATTATCATCGTCACCATTATCATTCGGTGATATTGACCAACGATAAAGGTACAGTTTAACTGACAAATTTAAGATGTCGATCGTGTTTCTTTTCAGCTCATTAAGATCAAACCAGGACTAACTTAAAACAGAACTCAAACTATTTCATCTTAATACAGCTGAATAGATTAGCAACATTTATTGGTAACGTTCCTAGCTTCATTATTTCGAATGACCTCTAACACATATATAGACAGATTACAACGGCTCATCCATGTTTTGAAAATACACTTATACGAAACAACACGTCGGAGTAAAAATCATTAGAACAATAAGTTAGATAAAATTTATTCTAGTTTCATAGTTGTCCTTTTGAAGTTGGGCTAATGATACCACTATTCTATCCAAATAGGTGTGAGGTAGTTCTAGAAATTGCCCCCAAATGCCCTGGTACGGCCGAGAGTGGGGAGAGTCCGCTCACCCTCTCGAAATGCTCTCACATGGCCATGCGTATATAGCTTCTGCCAGGGAAGTCCTACTCATTGCCTTCTCGTGGTGGGGATGTTGTCAACGAAAATAAGAGGACAAAAAGCGAATGTCCGGCGCTCTAACCGGATCCCAAATCAATGGTGCACATGGGCTCCAGTATCCTGAAGGAACAAATGGCGTATGAACCAATCGTTGGTCACCGGCTACCATGGGACTGCATCTCCTTACGATGCTCCACTGCCTTGTGGGTCAGACGTTCAGGTCGAAGGCTCGGAGTGTGGCCCCCTAAGTAAACCACCTGCTTCGGTTTGGGCACCCGGGCAGTATCACAGCCCTCACACAAATCAATTGAGATTCGTGTGGCGCATATGTACTTGGTGCCTCCCTGTACCTATACTTATGTGTTAAAATGAATGAAGTTCTAGAAATTATAGTCGAACGTTCGATAGCGGAATGCCTTTATCACTAATCCACCGCTATACTAACGGTAAGATGTAAATAAAACCAAATAGGTAAATAGAAGCATAGTAAAACTAATCGACAATCTGTTCGTGATTTCATAATGTATGTGGTAGCATCTCAGACTGCGAGACTGAGTGAAATGGGTCAATTACCCTGAGGAGCAGCGGTTCTCTCAAGATTACAACTACACTCTTTTGATGAGCATCGACAAATACGAAACCTATATCCAGGGTTTTCTTTTGATTACTTCCAATCACCATACTATGAGTACTTAAAAGTCAGACAAAATATACCAAACATTTAGAACCGAGAATTTGAGAAAACCTAACAAGCAGTGGCAGAAGCATTTATTTATGAAAGAATATCAACTAACATTTATTTACGATTCGATCTTTCCACATTTCTGTTGGTATATTATATGAATGAAAAATTCTCCTCTTGTTCAGTAAGTTTTTAAATACCTGACCAATATCAGTGTTTGGTAATTCCATGTCGTATTTCACGCTGCATAAATGTTTATATAATTGTAAATCTCAATTTATTACTGACCAGAAGCTAGTTAAACAGATGATTTTGTTATTTTATGATAATTTGTTGACTGTGGAAGAATAATCAATAGAGACGAGATTGCATCAGAATGAAATTGATAGTGTTTCCGCAGCGCAGGTGGTCGGAAATATCACAAACTAAGTGGTAGGTATAGAAATAATCACATCTCAAAATTTAACATGGTTCCTAATTCAAACAAGTCATATGCTTTACTAAATATAAAAAATAAACTATCAGTAATAAACGAACAAGGATCTGAAATAAGCCTAAATTATTATATTTCATATTAGCATAAGGAGAGGAAATCAAACAAGATGGAATATAGGAACAAAAAACCGGTACCGTTCACAGTGAAGCACTCAAGATGGGATATATGGATTAAAAGTATAAATGAACGTGTGGAGTATAGCAGAAGAAAACAATACCAGCAAACCCATCAGATTTGAGATAGCAGTTTTTGGATTTTTGTGCGAAATTCAAAGAGAGTTAAATAATAACTTTTAGTGTTAAAATATTTAGAAAACAGGATGCTTAAAATGAATAAAAATTACAGGGATGAAAATCAGAAACGAACTAGGTTGAGTAGTTACGTTTCAATAGGAACGTGATAAATTTTCCAGGGAAAAAGAACAGGATAATAAAAAACCGAAGTAGACATGCTGTGGTTTATAAGATTTTCAGTGTTTTAATGCACAAAAATATCTGGACAAGGGTTTAACATTACTACTACAGTGCACGCTAGCCCTAATGTCAATCCACAAACTCTAACCCTGGGGCTAAACATCAATTCTAACTCCCAACCTTTTATGTTAACTATAATAAATCAATTCACATAGAAAGATTCATAAATCATTTCAAAACTGTCCACACATTACCTTTTTAATAAGTCGTTTGATAACTAATGACCGTCATTTGACAGACTAGTGAGCTGCTCAAGATCATTTCATCTATCGCTTTTACTTGAAGTACTGTAAAGAAAATTAAGATTTAATGGAAGATAGAGAATAGATAGAATTCCTTCAACAACGGATTTTAACTCACAACATTTGAAGTCTACAACAATAAGATAACATCATAAATTGAAATGCTTGTTACTTCTAACACAGTTAGTGAACTGATATCATTACTAGTTCTAGTAACCAGAGTAACACATCGGTGCTGAAAGTAGCTTCGTATGTGTTATACATGATTCAAGCTAATTAGTCGATGGTTTAAATCATTAATGATAACCCTAAATCGAGTGCTCCACGAATAATCACGTTGTAATTTGCTCGATGACAGTACTAGCTCGAAGGCATGAGTTCAAATACTACTAACTCACAAATATCCTCAACGTTCATAGACATAAAGTAATGCAATCGCAACTACTTGCACGTTGACAATAGACAGACTTTTGCCTGATGTTTAACTGGAGAAATTCGGCTTAATTGAAAACAGTGACTTTATTAATACTAAATGTAAGATTTTATTATCGATAACTAATCATTGTGTACGAGGTAAATTGTTTAGATTTAATTTAATTACCTGGTAAATTCAGTATTATTTATTTTATAACTATGAAACAAGCTGTTATTCAGTAGATAGACAAATGTATTTTTCTGCCAATTTTAATCGCATATGTTTGAGACCAATTATTTTTGGATTTCTACTGATTGATCAGTATATAAAATAAACAGGTAAACATACATATTCTAAACTCATTGTAATGAAAGATAGTATTCCATTAAAAAAGTTATTGATAGAACAACGTATGATTTAGTCAATTTTATTAAGAATCGGTTTCATCAAAATTATATTAGGGTATTTGGACAAAGTACAGTCAATTTTAAAAATTGATAAACACTAAGAGAATGTTCATTTCTATTTTTTATGCACAATAATTTTCATATTGGTTGACATAAAACAAACAAACATCTACATTCCCTGTTAAATACAACTTTTCCTTATTATTTCAATGCGTAATGATAAAATCATATAACATTAGCATATATATATAAAAGAAAAATTTTTACTTGTTTACAGTGTTTATCGAATGTTTTGCTACCTATGAAAAAAAATGTATGTGGTGAACAAACAACTGAAAATGTACATTGAATAAGAATATCTCTCTCAGAAGAAGATTAAGAAAGAATATGGGAAACAAAACCGGCTATAATAATAAATTCCCCTTTTTCACATCCACATACAAAATAACTATGTTTGAATGCGTACAATATGAAAATAGTGTGACATTATCTGTGAATCTAGGTACTAGTAAAGTTCCACAAAAATAATAATAGTAAGGATGACAACAATATTAATATACCAATAAGAAAAATGATATTAACAGCTGTAATGACTAATATAATTGCTGATAGTAATAATCAAAGCAGCTGTATTGGTTGCAATTGTATTAATAATAAGCCGTAGCCAATAGAAAGAATTGAGTCATGAAAGCACCATTTATCTCTCACTGAAGTGACATATCCACGTACATTGAATATATATATATATATATATATATATATATATATATATATATATATATATATATATTCAATGACTGAAAATAATAAGTTATACCATTATATCTAGTAATTATAGAAGTGTAATAAAGAGATAGAACATACAAAGTAAAGTATATAGACAGGTTGAGATTAATAAAAAGAAAGTAAACATGTAAATAACAGCAGAAACAAAACGATAAGTGTTTTGAGGAGAGAGAATACCAATACGAATCACAAAACAGTGCGAAGAGAGCATGTGGTTGAGTAATGATATTCATAAACAATACTCTTTTTTTCTGAGTGGAATGTAGAGTTCTTTGTGTATTTAAAAATAAAGTAACTGTAATTTGAACTTCTATAAACAGAATAAAATGCTATAATTATTTTGTTGAACAAAATAAAGGATAATCTTTATGACTAATGCACTTTTTTGAATTGGTGTACAACACATAAAACTGTCGGATTAAAACAAAAATCAATAAACAGATAGTTAATTAATAAATATGTGTATAAATTTTAACGAATAAAAATCAAACCAGCCATTATGGACTGTACTGATAAGTAAAACCAATGTTTATTTCGATAAATAATAATAATAGTGATAGTAATAGCAGTAGATTTCAAAAGTAATCTCAATGAAAAAGACAGGACCAAGTCTGAAATAAACATTCGACACATCTAAGAAACACTGCAAGGAGAAAAGAGAAGAAACAAAATATAACGAACTAGTCGAAAAAAAACTATCAATAAAATCTGAGCAAGATAATATTACGTTATCTTTTAAGGTAGTGGTCATTGTGGTGAATCATAGAAAAACCATTATTGGTAATAATAATAATAGTAGTATTATCGTTGTTACGTTTGAGCTTCTAATACAATTTCAGAACAATTTTGTTGTAAACGACGTAATCGGCGAGCACGCCTTCTTCGAAAATGCTGTATAATAATAGGAACAACTGAAAATGCTGCCAAAACCATACCCAAACCAGAAATAATGAAGGCTGGATCATGTGACTGAGTTAGATCAATTATATAACCTGATGAGTACAGGAAAAGAAAATAGTAAATGAAAGGGAACATTCACAATTCAACCATTTTGCATCAACATTCATAACCTCAATACTACTCGGTTGCATAAAACTAAACAAGCATAGTTGGACTAAATCTTTCATCTCTAATGGATTTTGTTTCTCAGAATCGATTACCCACATGGTTGAGTTTGAATAAGTTCTTAACAACACATGAAAATAATGTTCTTATTTTTACCATAGTATAATAAACTTAATTAAGAATTTGTGTACTTCACTAAGCGACTAGTCATAAAATCAGTTAGAAGAATTTCATGAGTTTGAAAAACAAAATGCCGAAATAAAAACCAGTACTATTTAATTTTGCACAATTTTTTAACATATATTCATAAGCAAAATAGAAATTGGAAGCAACGTTTTCATTTTGATTAGTTCAAGCTATGAAAAAAAAACACATTGAGTGAAAATAGCTTTCTGAAAAGTTAACTAGTTTCAGGTTCTACAACTAGATTAAAATTTGTCCGACAGGTTTAAGTAATTAATGAAGAGAAAGAGAGGTTATTGGCACAAGTGAAAAATTGTCAATTCAAATTAAAAACAAGAATTGGTTAGAAAAGTGTTATATAAAGAAGTGAACACCACGCAAATGAGCAATCGAAAACCATTAAACAGCGAAAAATAATAGAACACGATAAATCGGCAAGTAATAATAGGCAAATTTTTTATTAGATCAGTGTAAAAACAAAATTCTGTGACTAATTCTGTAAAAGGATGTGTACCAACCGGTGGAAGATGATTCAAAGCTTTACAAACTAGCAAAAGAAATATATGGCATTTACTAAGCATAAGTCATGAAAATGTTTAATTTAGCTTTTGTTAACTTAAACTAAAAAACAATTTTTGGACGTTTGTAGGATGGTCAGTGTGAATGTATCACCAATCCTATCCTGAAATTGAAAGTTGAGAAATTATTGTACTTTGATAAATGAACAGTTAGCCAACGAGACTATCTGTAACGATGCTACTCCTTGTACCCCTTTGTGAAGTTAAAGTGACAATACAATACGTAAAACATTTCTAATGATAATAAACAACACTGTAGATATTCAGGACAGTATTTCACATAGTCCCTAAAGTAATAATTATGTAACAGATTTAAGATACCTTTACCTACAATGTTTATCATATCATATGAGGATTTTCCCAAACAAAAAACCCTTGAGTTGAGCAGATTGGGGATGATATAAAGACATTTGAAACACTTACCGTTAACCACCTGCTACCATTACACAATTAAGTACAATACGTGAAAACGATTTAAGAGGAGTTTATATTAATGACGTTATTCCACGCTTTTTATATTAGTAATTATTTAATCCGATCCACTATCTTCAACAATGCATTTAAAAATAAAATGTGATAGTCAGACACATTAAACTTCACAAATTAATCACACAGAATCCAACTTACTGAAGAATAGTACAAAAGTGTTTACAACAATGTTTAGCATTTACAAACAAAAGGTATTTTCACGTTGAATAAAAAAAATAATTGAACTTACACGAAACTTCTATCAACTTTTAAAACACAAGAGAAGTGACAGCATGTAAATTACTAACAGAAAAAAAATTAAGAGTACATACAATTAGAATTCTTTAATTAGCAAAAAATTAAGCTAAATTTTTAATACTTTCAAGAAGTAATGCAGTTCAAACGTACATAAAAATGATAGTAATATATATCGTCAATATATATTTTAATCGAGTAAGATCTTATAGTAAATAATGTGAGAAGTATTACTACAATACGGTGTAATTCAGGTTTATAATATGGACTATGACAAATGTGTCCTGAAAAGTTCGAGAAAAAAAAGATGAAGACAATATGTCAGAACATCTTCACATATCATAGTTTTATTATCATACTAGTCTTTAACAGTCCAAATTGAAAAATAGCTATTTATCTGTATTTAGTCTTACTTGATAAGAAGCTAAGTGAGTAAAACCATACCATACTGACTAAATTGGCCGATCACATAGATAACTTATGGACACATCCTTTAACAATCTACAATGCTACTCATTTCTGTATCCACACCAACGCAAATCTAAGACATAAAAAAGCTTTTGTGCATTCTGATCTGCGTAATCTGAAAGCTATTTTTTTATTACCATCACCTTAACCAATTCGCAATTCCTTTTTCCTATTTTTACTACAAATAAAGTGAACCTTTACTATATTATTCCAAAAATTTCATTGAAACGAATACATGTGTTCAGGTCATCAGTCGTTGTCACGTGACTGCTTTATATACTCCCTCTCTCCCTCTCAAATTTCCCATACATGCTAATCACTAGGATAAGATTTCCTAACTGTACTTTTAACTGTTACCAAGTCGATAACTAATATATGTATCCATGTATACACACGGTTATTAGTTAGTCGGTTGCCACAGTTACCCGTTTTCTTTATGTTTCCATCTTATTTAGTTGCTAAAATTGATTGCTTTTATTTTTTTAATTGCGAGTTCTAGTTTTCATTTTAGTCATTTATTTGTAATATTTATTTCTGTGTTATGATGGGAGTATGAAGTAGAAGAATAGAGAAATCACAATTAACATTATCTAAACGAAGGCTTGAAATAGTTCAGAGAATTGTGATATGATTGTTTAACTGGTCTGTTATCTTCTTGTGTGTGCATATGATTATTTAATTAATGAATTCATACATTCATTTGATAATACAATGAAAATAAGTCAAAATCAATTGTTATTATGATATAATGAAAAAGTTATGAGCAACTGCATTTATAGTCTTTTTTACTTTTAATAGAGTTGCACGTAGACAAAGTGATAAAACTTTAATTGTAGTAACACAATAGCTTAACTTTATCTCTGAAGTGGTTAGGCCTGTAGAGGTCATAGATCACTTTAATACTTCACTGAATATAAATCCACAAATTCATGATGTTCTATTAAAGTATATGGTGTAAAGTACTCATCTTTAAGTCACATTTTCAATTTAAGGATCAATGATACTATCCAGCTACACTGCGCAAAATAAGTGTTCAGTGTGTTCAAATCTGCTATTCATTCACTAAAAGTCAGAGGCTCAATCCAATAAATGATGTCTTTTATATGAAGTGATTTCAACCCTGAATAACCCACTTGTGATTACAGCTACAGGCATTAAAGTTGTTAATCAAAATCAAGTCCTGCTTTTATCACTCATGAATATTATCAACTTGATGGCAAAATCTAGCTCCACAACTCCCAGTTTATCGCTTTTTAATTCGTGCAGTCAAGTACAATCCATGGTTTATAAACTTGCATATTATAAGTTGCATAAATATATTGGATGGGACATGAACATAATTTTGACGTTAAAGTTAAAGACAAAGCTGTAAATTTTTATGAAACACATACACATTTTAGTAAAGTTGAATTGTGGCTAACTAGAAGTGGAACGTAATACGCGAGTTTCATCCTGTTTTTTGGCTCGTCAGCTGGATGTAACTAAATTCCAGTGTTGACGCTCACACAGACTCGAACCCAATAGATTTCGCTTCAAGGGCCAACGCGTTGTCCATTGAGGTATTGAATCCAGGTAGCCACTGAATTTTTCAAAGAGTATGAATGTATTTTAGCTTCACTAGATTTAATTAAAACTATATTGATATCAAGAAAATCAGATGTAATTCCATCAGATTTTTGAGGCCAAGTTAATTGATTTTTCAAGGTAGCCAAACTCTCGGATCCGAAGGAAGCATTTGATAACTCTTTTCTAAATACCCTAATAAAGCTCATTTGAAGCGTTTTCCAAACCCGCTGATGAAAAATTTGCTATCAAATAATAAATCTTAGAGAATACTTAACCTCAATCGAACAAAGAGGTATCAGGATGGTGTAACGACCAACATAACTAGGTAGGTTGCTCATAGTGTGGTGCGTGCTACTTATATTGATATAAGTAGTATATGATGCGAGTCAGGAATGAAATATCTGGCAGCAGAAGATGGGGAAAGATCAAGAAAGGAAGAACGGGAATAGAAAGCGATTCGTATGGAAATGCAAAAACAATGAAGTCCGAGACAATTATTGAAAATTTTGTAAATTAAGCATTATAGTAAGGTTTTTTTCTATTTTACCAAGTAACTGTAATTTTGTGGTAAATGTAATTCGGTTGTCCTCATCTTTGTTCTCCTTCACTACAATAGTACTTGCGCTCATAGTTGTTTGTCGTTATTAGAATTTTCGAAAGTAAAATAACAAGAAAAACAATTGAAAAAGCGGATTGTTCAAATGAAATCTATTACCAATCAAGATATATGTTGCTGAAAAATGAAAGAGAATTCGTCATAGATACAACTCACCAGTTTAGTTTGCAGATTTTAAGTCAATGAATTATATGTTTGAGTCATATAGAATACTTTGTATTTGAGAAACATACATGGTTTACACATACAAAATATAAATATATATCATGTTTCCATCTATCAAGCACAAGTTACTAACCACAAAAACATAAGTGTTATTAAAATAGCATGTAATTATCAAGAATTTGCAACACAGGGTCTCTTTTCAGTTGATAAAAATATCATTATTTTAGGTCACAGGTAGGTACTGTGATCAATAATCATATTGCCAAACTGAAAAATACCAACCACTTAAAATAAGTATTACATATGATGACTTAGCAACTACGGAAGACCATAGTAGTACAATCACTACTGAATATCGTCAAATAGGTGGTGTCAAAACAAATATGTTAAATAATGTGAGTAAATAATAATTAATAACTAAATAGTGTTAGATATCAGTTGGTGATTATATATATGGTTATAAATTGGTTATTCCGCTACCATAGTTACTCATATTCTTTATATTTACATTTTAATTAGTTGCTGAATTTGGTTACTTTTACTTTTTATTACGAGTTTTGGTTATCATTTCAGTCATCTACATACAAATGCTGAGAAATGATAAGTTTCTTTGAGATCGAGAAAATGA